GGGCCGCTTCCGCGCCGGCCTCGCTCTGACGCTCCTCGCCGGCGTCCAGCTCGTTAAAGTTCCTCCCTTTGCTCGTTCTCTGAGCCCCGTCTGAAAGTTAAGCTGCTACCCTGGGGATTGAGAGTTCGCGTCCGCACCTCGCTGCGGTCCCGGGCCGCGGAGCCCGCTTGCGGAGAGCGGGGGCCGGCGCTTTGGAAGTTGGCGGGAGGAGGAGGGGCGGGGAGGAAGCCTCCCGGCCCTCTCGCGGCGGAGAGGAAAGCCCGGCTGAGCCGGCGTCTCCGCCCAGTGCTGACTTAAGCGGCCTGCCCACTAGATAGCAGATTTTGCTAAGTTCGTGTGTAGCTTTAGGGGATTTTCTGTGTAAGTGACGCTTCCCTTTGGGGGTTTGACAGTTGTTCCAGGGGAGCAGTCTGAGCAGGGGAGTGACAAACGGTAGAAAGATAGGTGAGATGGGAATTGTGAAGGCCAGGGACTAAGGGACCTAAACAAGGAATAAATTTGGGGAGAACTCCGAATCACTGAGATGATTTAAATATGGAGACTGAGAAATGTGTAAAGACCTAGGATTTGCAGCTGAGTGGGAAGATTGGGCAATAATTGAAGTGGACAGCACAAGAAGAACAGGTTTGGTGGAGGAGATGATAATCTAGATTTTGTACGTTGTTAGGTTTGAAATGCTGTGGGGTGTATTTGTGCAGAGACCCAGGAAGCAGTGAGAAATGAAGGTCTGGGGTTCAGAACGGAGATCAGGACTAGAGACAAAAATTTGGTGTTGTTGAATAGGACATGATGGCACATACCTGTAATCCCAGCACTCGGGAAAATGAGAAGGATCCAGGTTAAGACCAGCCTGGGCTACATAGCAAGACCTTGTCTCCAAAAAAATGCAGTGTCATTCATTCACTATCGAAATATTTATTCAGCTCTGTGCTGACAGGGAAGCGCTTCTGGAAACCCTTGGAACTCATAGTGAAGACAGTTTTAGAAGTCGGAAACGACTTCAGGATTTTCTTTTGGGGGGATAAAAAATGTAAAATTAGTTTGGTTATGGTTGCATTTCACACTTGTGAATATACTAAAGACAATTTACTCTTTAAAACAAATGTAGTGAACTCTTTTTCTTATTTTTAAATACATTTGCATTGCAGTTTTTGAAATATGTCAAATGGGTAATGGAATTAGGAAGAGGAACAAATGTAGTTGCATATTTCCTATTATACTACTGGGCTAATGTACTTAGCAGGTTCTTTGTTGGAGTCAGCACGCTACACTTGTGGATTTATCCGAGTCCAGCCTGCCTTTCTGTGCATCCTCCTATCCTATTTTCTCCGTACAGTATCCGAATACGTACCATAAACTTGGGTGCCAATTGTATGGCAGTACTCAGTTATGATATAGATAGTTGTTTCAGAAAATGCTTGTTAATTTTTAGAGATTATTATTAAAAATGGTGCTTGCTTCGGCAGCACATCTATTAAAAATGCAAACACTAAAATAAAAAGATGTGATAGATAATGTATGAAGGTCAGTAAATAGTTGTCTAGTTTTTAGAGATTTTGCAATCCTAGAATGTCGAAGTTGGAAGAACTTTGAGGATAACTTTAAGGGTACACAAGCATTTGATAATTTTTTGCCTTCTTGTGATGAGCTGGAACTGGAGACAAGGAATTTTTTCCCTACAGTACTTGGGATTGGACCCAGGGCCTTTGCACTGAGCTACCTCTGCCGTCCTTTTTTTGTTTTGAGATAGGGTCTCACTTAAATCACTGAATTACCCAGGCTGGGCTCAAATTTGAAATCCTCCTGCCTCAGCCATCCACTGTGCCTGAATTACAGTATGTACCACCACACCCAGCTGAGAAAAAGAATTTTGAAGTGTTGCAAATTCGAGATCAAACCTAGAGAGATGCAATTACAATTCATGCCAGCCTGCTCAGTGTGTGGGAGTCCTGACTAGGCTAGTAACTTGGGCAAGTGATTTATTGAGCCCTGGTTTGTTCCTCTATAAAAAGGTGAATGGTTAGACCACATAAAGCTAGTGTAGTGGTTGAGTAAAAAAATATAAATGTGGAAAGAAAATTTGGAGATTTGTGATACCTTATTTTATGTAGGAAAATGTAAAAGGAGTATTTTTATTCATATCTTGCAAATTATTGTTTTTTTACAACGAAAAATGAGGATTTCAGGTAGTTAGAAGGAGAAACCAGCAAACAGTAACTACTTTGGTACTTCTGAATGTCCTTTAGGAAAAGTCTGTCTTATTCTAACTTTTCGGTGTACCCTAATATTAATGAGAAACCTCCTCCTGGGTACATACTTTATGATTACTTGATGACAGTATTCCCACTTTTAGAAACAATTCTAGCAAATAAAATGACGTGGCAAAATCCTTGGGGGAAATAAGCTGTAAGAAAGAATTTTGGGCTGGGAGGAGCTCAATGGTAGAAGTGCCTAGCATGCTCAGGGCCCCAGTTCAGTCCTCAACCCACACACCCAGAAAAGAATTTAAGTTGTGGAGGTGGGAGGGACAGCTGCATCAGGGTCCTAAGAGTACTGCCTGTGGGAGACACTGTTCAGATTTTGCCGTCTGTGTGTGTGTGTGTGTGTGAGAGAGAGAGGGAGAGGGAGAGGGAGAGAGAGAGAGAGAGGGAGAGAGAGAGAGAGAGAATGAATTAAACTCAGCACTTCCTATGTGCTACCACTGAGCTATATCTCCAGCTTTGAGTTTTGGTTTTTTGAGACAAGGTCTTGCTGTGTAGTTCAGGCTGGCCTTGAACTCGCTATGTAGCCGAGGCTGGCCTCAAACTCTCAGTGATCTTCTTGCTTCAGCATGAGTGCTGGGATTACAGGCCTGTGCCACCACGCTCCATTCAGCCTTCATTTAAAAAGAAAAAAAGTTGTTTTGTTTTTAGGCTTCTGGGGATTGAACCTAGGACCTTCACAATGAGATATACTCCTACACCTTTTTTTAATTTTTATTTTGAGGCAAGGTCTCACCAAGTCACTAAATTGCCCAGGCTGGGCTCAAATGTGAGATCCTCCTGTCTCAGCCTCCCAGAATCCTGGGAGTACAGGCCTGGGCCACCATGCTTCACCCAGCTTTGACTTTTTAAATGTAATTTTTATAATTACCAAACAATATAATAATAATTGTAATTTAGAAAACTTGCAGAATTGAGGGAAAAAAATAAGTCTATCACACAATATAGCCACTATCATAACTGTAAACTTCTACTTTTTCCTAAACATAGTTTTTTGGTTTTTTTTTTCCTTCTGGTACCAGGAATCGAACTTATGACCTTGCACTTGCCAGGCAGGCACTTTTGCTGCTGAGCTGAATTCCTAGCCCCTATACATAGTTTTTTAAAATAGAAAATATATAACTTTGTATTTTATTTTTTGTGAGACAAGGTCTTACTTTGTAGTTCAAGCTGGCCTTGAACTCACAGCAATCTTCCTTAGTCTCCCAAGTGCCTTGAGTACTGGGTTTATAGGTGTGTGTCACCCTGCCTGTGGTGTGTTTTTTTTTTTTTTTTTTTTTTTTTGAGACAGGGTCTTGCTATGCAGTTCAGGCTGGTGTTGAGCTCACTTTATAGCCTAGGCTGGCCTCAAACTTGCAATGATCCTCCTGCCTCAGCCTCCCGAGTGTGTATTTTATTTTTGTAATTAATATTTTTGTGGTTACATTGTCTTTATAATTGTATTTTAAAGTGACTGCCAAATTTAATCCGTCATTCCCTAATTGTTGGATATCTATGTATACTTTTTTTTTTTGTCTTTTTGAGACAGGGTCTCACTATGCAGCTCAGGCTGGCCTTGAGCTCACTTTGTAGCCCAGGCTGGTCTCGAGTTCACAACGATCCCCCTGCCTCAGCCTCCCGAGTGCTGGGATTACAGGCGTGCCCATGCCCAGCTATATATGTATACTGATATGTTGCTTCTTTTTTTGTCACATATTTATGATGAATATATTTGGGAATATGACTTTTTCCATATTTAAGGCCTTTCCTTAGACTCGATTTTAGAAGTAGAAATTCTGTATCAAAGCATAACAGTTTTAAGGGGTCTGATACTGATACCTGTTGGACATGTTCTTCCTTTTTGAGACAGTCTCACTATGTAGTTCAGGCTGGTCTTGAATTCACTGTGTATCCCGGCTGGCCTTGAACATGCAGTGATCCTCCTGCCTCAGCCTTCTAAGTGCTGGGATTACAGGTGTGCACCATCATGCTTGGCTCAGGATTTGTGTGTGTGTGTGCGTGTGCGTGCGCGCGTGTGCCACTGGGAATTGAACCCAGGGCTTTGTGCGTGCTACGCAAGTGCTCTACCATTGAGCCACAATCCCCAGCCCCAGATGTGTTCTGTTTTAAAACATTTTTTTGGGCTGAATTCTTTGTTTGCTTGTTGTGATTTTTGGATATACAATATAAAGAAATGCCTTTGTTTATTTAACTACTTTCTTCTCTTAATGCTATCTCTTTTACTCCTGTTTAAGGTTAAATTACCAACCTAGTTCAGCATCTTACAGGAAGAGCACAGAATTTTCTAAGGAATATGAGCATAACGGGAAGGTATCATTGACTCTGAATTAAATCTGAACCTGTACCCTGAAGAGCTACAGGATTTTGGAAGCTGAATCAATGTTATCAGATGAGTTAGAATCCAAACCAGAGGTAAGCCCACTCAGCTTGTTTGCTTTCTTTTGGTGGATTTTTTTTCAGTTGACCCTTAGTTCAGGGATCAGCAAAGTTTTTCTATGATGACCTGATAGTAAATATTTTAGGTTTTGTGAACCAAATGGTTTTAATTAGAAAATTAGTTTATTATTTTTCTATTACTAAGTATTTTCTCAAAGATTTAAAATTTTAAAATTTTTGGTATTTGTCATTTTAGGATATATGTACATTTAAGTAATTATATAATAAAATATTTTATATCTAAAATGTATATTTATGTTATATGTCATCTATATGTAATTTATATGTGTATATATAAATATTTACTGCCATAAACCATTCTTTTATTAATTTAGTATATATCTGAAAATAGTTTCTTTCTAAACATAATTGGAAAATTTAAGCATTTTTTTCATTCTTTTTCTTACTTTAATTATGGTGAATTTCTTGCATAGTGGAAAGATCACTGAACTAAGAATCAGATTACTGAAATTTGAAGACTGGCACTGTTCCTAAGTAATTACATGATCTTAGACAAGTCACTTAATGTCTCCAACTTATGTGCTTATTGTAAAATATCCTTTGAATCTTACTGATATAATGGAGAGTTAAGTGAGCCAGTACACAGAAAAGTGCTTGGTTAGATGTGCTCAGTACAGTGCAGCTGATTTTTAAAATAGCCTATCATTTAAAAATATAATTATTTTTGTCCTGTCTGATGGAAAATGTCAGCAGTTACCTTAATTATATAAGTTAGCCTTTCTTTAGAACAGAGGACTTGGTAATGTAACTTTAAGTATAATAATCCAGTTTTTCTTTGAATATGGCTGAGTCTAGTAAATAGTCAAGACTTAATTACACCATCATCTTTTGGTAAATTCAAAGGTTTAGAATTCTTCCTAATGACCTTTATTTCTCAAAGTTATCTTTTTCCTCTTCCAGCTTCTGGTACAGTTTGTTCAGAATACCTCCATCCCATTGGGACAAGGGCTAGTAGAATCAGAAACTAAAGACATTACTTGCTTGTCACTCCTTCCGGTGACTGAGGCCTCAGAATGCAGCCGGCTAATGTTACCAGGTAAAAATAAGGATCACCAGGCATAGTATAAAGAAGTCCTGAGAGCTAGACGGTGTAGTGTACACTGTAATTCTAGCCACTGTCCAGGCTGAAGCAAAAAGAGTGAAAGTTTGAGGCCAGTGGGGCTACTTCATGAGTCCCTGTCTCAAAATAAAATAAGACAAAAGGCCCCAGGGTGTAGCTCAGTCATAGAGCTTTTTTTCTAGCCTGCATGTGGCTCTAGGTTCAATACCCAGTACCCAGTAGTGTGAGAAAAATAAAAAATATCCAAAGACCATAGCCTACTCTATGGTACTGGTAGAATGGATCACTGCTTTTATAAGTGACTGGCAGAACCTGTACAAGATAGGAGTCATGGGAAAAAGTCACAGTGGAGGTTTATAGGTGTATCAGTAGTTTAAGCTATAGAAATGATTGTGATCACCCATACAATGAAAGTGAGAAAAAAGCCAAGGCAAAACTTCGGAACTCCCCATTGAAGGTACAGGATAAACAGGAGAGCCTGAAAAAAAGGAAGGAAAATAGAGGACAGTGGGGTGGTAGGATGAATATCTGCACTGAGGTGAACCTAAGGGCAGTCAGTGTGGCAGAAGATCCTGAGAGGCCCAGTGAGATCAAGATAAACGGAGGCCATCACTGGCCTTGGCGGTCCATGAGGGGAGAGGGTGAAAAGCAGGCTGCAGTGGGTTGAGATATTAATGCAAAAGCAAGTCTGGTGTATACTTGAGGAAGTAGCTAATATTTTGTAAAGCTCTCCTGATACGAGAAGGAAATACAGAAATAAGTAAAGTAGAGGGAAATGGGGGTTTTCTTGTTCTATGTCTGACATCTTTTTTGTTTGTTTTTTTTGAGACACGGTCTTACTATGTAGTTCAGGCTGGCCTCAAACTCATGGCAGTCCTCCTTGCCTCAGCCTTCCAAGTGCTGGGATTACAGGCATTCATCATGCCCAGCTGTGTCCGAGATCTTTAAGGATTATTTTATGCTAAAAGGAAAGAGCCAATCACAGAAGCTAAAGACAGAAAGATCCTGAAGGATTGGTAGGAGAAAGTGGAATTCTGGGCACAGGTAGTGAGGTTCACTTCGGCAGAAAGAGGGACTCTCACTTGACTGTTAGCTGGGAGAACTTTATTTTTGTATCTATTTAATGTTTTATATTCTGATCTTTATTTTAAATTTTAGAATGTTGATGTTTAATCTGATAGGGTTAATACTAACCTGCTGGTGACAGTTAGTTTTCTTCTCTTTTTTATTTTCTTTAAATTTTTTTTTTTTTTTTTTTTTGATAATTTGTTACAAAGTTTCCTGGCTGCTATCCTCTAGTGGTGTTCTTCTATTTTTGAGTGACTTTAAAACTGCCTTTAATTTTTAAACGTTCAAGAAGGACAGATGAGCCACCACACATCTTAGTCCCAGCACTTGGGAGGCTGAGGCGGGAGGATTGCTGAGAGTTCGAGGGCAACCTGGGCTACATAGTGAGTTTAAGGCCTGCCTGAATACACAGCGAGACCCTGCCTTAAAAAGCCAAACAAAAAAGGACAGATGTCGTAAGCCAGTCAACATTGATTTAAATTTCCCTTTCTAGATCATAGCTCTTTCATATCACCTATCTCTGTATTTTTTGCTTTCTACTATGTTCAGAATCACATCGTCCCAACCCCTTGCGGATTTTCAACCTGTGAAAATTTCCAGATGCTAATACATGTTTGTATTTGTTAGGACTTTTTCCCCCTGAATTTTCTCTCTGACTTTTAATTTATTGAATAAATATCTGAACAACTATGAAGGAAATGAAATGGAAAATTCTTTTTTTCTGTTAGAATGGCTGTTGTCAAAATACTGACAGATAAATATGAAGAAGGCTATAGAGAAAAAAGAACCCTTGTACACTAGGTACAAATGTGAATTAGTACAGCCGTTATGGAAAATGGTATGGAAGTTCCTCAGAAAACTAAAAACAGAAACAAAGATCTAAAAACAGAAACATGATATCAGCCCGCAATCCTGCTTGTGTGTATATCCAAAGAATTGAAATCAGTGTTTCATTATTGTTCTGCGTTTAAAAAAAAAAGGAAACAACAAAAGAGGGCTGGGGATGTAGCTCAGCAGTGCAGTGCCTGCCTGACAAGCATGAGGTCCTGAGTTCAATTCCCAGTACCCACACAAAAAAAGAAAATACAGTTCTGTGTTTATAGCTTTACATTCAGTATAAAGAACTATAATGAAACATATTAATCCAGAGCTATAATGAAACATACTGATGATTCTATAAAATTTCATTTGTTTCCCAGGCTGTGTTTTTAGTATGGGGGCTTAAACACAGGGCTTGCACATGGTAGGCACGTGCTCAGCCTCTGAGCTACATCCTCAGTGCTTTTTTAAATTTTATTTTGAGATAGGTTGCGCAGGATGGCCTCCAACTCACAAGTCCTCCTGCCCCAGCCTCCTTAGTAGCTGGGGTTACAGATGTGCACCATTGTACTCCCCAGGCTGCATTTCATTTCACATCCTTACTCTGTGTGTGACCAGCATTGTCACGTGATAGAAAGTTAAGAAGCGCCCCCCCGCCCCCAAATTTAAAATTTAGAGCGTAGTCTTTGTTTCTTCTTTTTTTTTTTGTCTTTTTGACACAGGGTCTTACTGTGCAGTTCAGGCTGACCTTGAGCTCACTTTGCAGCCCAGGCTGGTCTCAGACTCACAACGATCCTCCTGCCTCAGCCTCCCAAGTGCTGGGATTACAGGCATGTGCCACCACGTCTGGCTAGAGTCTATTCTTGAGTTAATATTCATTGTATAGCTGTGTTTTGTTTTGTTTTTTAAGAAAAAATACTGATTTTGGGCTTCTAAAAGTACCACATTGTATAATGTCCAAAGGTGGCTGGGTGATTATTAGTCATGCCAAATGTCAACGAACTCTGTTTCTCACAGTTTGCTGACTGTCTTGAGAACTTAAAGGTATTCCTATACTTCTGTGAGGTAGATTTTGTATTTACAAAATGAGAATGCTGTGTACTCCAATAAGGGTGCTAGATATAATTAGTATCATTATTATTGTTGTTGTTTTGTTTAAGACAGGGTCTCACAATGTAGTTGAGGCTAGCCTTGAAATCACTATGTAGCCCAGACTGGCTACAAACTTGTGGCATTCCTCCTGCCTCAGCCTCTGGAGTACATTGCTTTAAGGCACTAGATGTTAGAGAATATTAAGTATTATGTATCAAAATGGTGAGCTCTTTAGAAATGGGTGCTACATAAAACTATGGTATTTTCCTTTTACAAGATGATACTTCAAACCATACTACTTCCTCCAAGGAGGTCACTTCCTCAGCTGTATTGAGAAGCCTTCAGGTGAATGTGGGCCCAGACGGAGAAGAGACGAGGGCTCAGACAGTACAGAAGTCCCCGGAGTTTTTGTCCACTCCAGAGTCTCCTAGCCTGTTACAAGATCTACAGCCAAGTGATAGCACTTCTTTTATTCTTCTTAATCTAACAAGAGCAGGTAGGTATTCTTGACCCTTTTCCGAACTCTGCCCATGCTTAACAAAAAATTACGGATGGAGCGTAGGTAAATCACACTTAAAATGCAAAGATGCTTTATCACTTGACTATCTCGAAGAACTGGTGTGGTCTGGTGACCAGTGGAATGTGTGCAGGAGGAGGAAAGGTTCTAAGATGACACAAACAGTTCTTGTTTGGGAAGTTAGATGGTGCACTTTACAGACACGGTGACCCAGAGATAGCAAGGCTTGGAGAGGACGGATGCCTGGTGCCGTCTGTGTCACTAATAATGTGACTTTGGAGGGACATGCAGGAGGAAGTGTTCTTGAGAGAGTTAGAAACAGGAATCCAGCATCCTAAAGAGGTCTGGTGTGAAGGAACTCGTTTGGGTGCTTAGCAGCATTCAGGAAATGTATCCACAACAAGTGTTGATTCTTTTATTCAGGGCAAGTTTGAAGCATTAACAAAAAACAGCATGCCTGGAACCCTCAAAAAATTGAGGAGACTAACAGGAAGGAGCAGCTGGGAGGGAGCGCAGAGAACTAGGAGAGACTGGTGGGCGGCAAGCAAAGGGAGGAAAGTGTTTCAGGCAAGAAGAAATGCTGATCGCGCCAATACTACAGGTTGGGTTAATGAGCTAAGTGGGTGTCTGGTGACCTCCGCAAGAGTCATTGTTACTGCAGTAGTGGAGGCAGAGGCCCTGGTTAAAGAGATGGGAAACAGATGAGAGGTAGAGAAGTTGATTCAGTCAGAAGGTACACTTGCTCAAGGAGCTTAACTTTGGAGGAACAGGAAAAAGGTGATAGCTAGAAAAGTACTTGAAGTTTTCTATTCTTTTAAAAATTAGAGAGATGAGCTAGAACACGTCTAAAGGTATAAGGACAAGCTGGCCAATAGGACTAGACTGTAGGTGGAGAGGACATAAGTGAGGGACACAGGAGGGGATGACTGACCATGGAGTTGTGACACTAGCGGGTGGGGTTGGCCTGTTGCCAAGGGCAGCTTAGCCTTTGAAACGAGTTCGAAGTAGGAAAGTGATAGTCTGATCATCTGCAAGAACAGAAACTTGAGGTGGGAGCAAAGAGCTGAAGGAGCTGATGCAGGACGTGGATACGTCAAGTCATACTAATTCTGGGCCAGGGTGAATAAAGGGTTACTTGCTGGCTAACTTGCATATGTCTTCTTGTTTCTTCCAGGTCTGGGCTCTTCGGCTGAGCACTTAGTGTTTGTACAGGATGAAGCAGAGGATTCAGGGAACGATTTCCTCTCCAATGAGAGCACAGACAGTAGCATTCCATGGTTCCTCCGAGTTCAGGAATTGGCCCATGACAGTTTGATCGCTGCTACCCGTGCACAACTGGCAAAGAATGCAAAAACCAGCAGTAATGGTGCGACTCATGGTATATTCCTCTCATTCTCTGCAAAGAGACTTTAGTACTGTAATAGCTATATTTTGAGTTGTATGTGTTGTTGAGAATGGAAGGCTACAGATATGTAAATTGTTTGCCTTATTGTATGTGAAATAACTTGGCCATGCCGGATTTTTGCGCATAATCCACTAAGGCGGTCTGAATTCTAGCTCAAAATAATACATAGAGTGCTTTTGTTCCAGTAATGGGGATCAAACCCAGGGCTTTCATACCCCAGCCCTTTTTTATTTTTTGAGACAGGGTCTTGCTAACTTGCTACGTTGCCCAGGCTGGGTTCAAAATTGCAGTCCTTCTGTCTTATAGTCATATGCCATCGTACCTGGCTCAGAGTAACGTTTAAAGGGCAGCTGTAAAAATACAGATCCTGGGGTTATCTTGAACTGTTTTGATTGTAACATTCCTTAAATATATAAAAACAAATTCTGTGTTTTTTATACTTAAGAGTTTTATTAATAGGAAAAACTATAAAACCAATGAAATAAAGTTAATATAAAGTCAGTGTGGCAGATGATGTTTTACTGCAACTATAATTGCCACTTGTGGCAATTTTATAATTAGCTGTGGTGGGTTTTGTCCTGTTTCATTTTAGCATCCCGTAGCTTCTCTGTGCCGCTGTAGTCTATTCCTGTGATTTTCAAAATATTATCCCTAGGTTATCGATATCACCTGGCAACTCAGAAATGCAAACTCTCAGCTCCTATCCCAGACTTGAATCAGAACTTGGTTCTGATATGTGTTAAAGTTTGAGATCCATGCTGTATTCAAACCATTCCCAAGCTAACATGAAACCTTTGCTTCTGTAACAGCCCATTAATAATGTTTGTTTTAGATCTGCCTCTGCCTCTCATTAACCTGTGATGGCTACGTTACTACTACATGATTCAACATTAACATTATCACAGACCAAGCTTAAACACTGAAATCTTATATCAGAAATCTTATAGCTACTTGGAGTTCATGTAGAAAAGTTCATGATCTTTTCTTATGAGTATTTGTTTTTCTTTTTTCTTTTTGGTCTTTTTGAGACAGGGTCTCGCTATGCGGTTCCGGCTAGCCTTGAGCTCACTTTGTAGCTCAGGCTGGTCTTGAACTCGCAAGGATTCTCCTGCCTCAGCCTCCAGAGTGCTGGGATTACAGGCGTGCGCCACCATGCCTGGCCCTTACGAGGATTCTTAAGTTACCATTCAAATGAAAATAAAAAACTAGCTGGGCGTGGCAGTGCATGCCTATAATCCCAGCACTCAGGAGGCTGAGGCAGGAGGATTGTTGCGAGTTCAAGACCAGCCTGGGCTACAAAGTGAGCTCAAGACCAGCCTGAACTGCATAGTGAGACCCTGTCTCAAAGAGACCAAAAAAAGAAAATAAAAAACTAAAAAAATTCTCATTGAGAAGTCAGGGGTCCTACAAATACTTTAAAGTATTTTAGTTTTAGAAACATGAAATATTTTCAGCAGAGATGAAATTCTAGATGTTAGTTTTTAAATTAATTAGTTCCATCTGTATCTATCTATCATAATGCTGCCTAGAATGGTTTGTTTTGCCATTTGGGGAAGATTCTTCCTGAGAGTCTATTTCCATTTTTCCTTGCATTCAGAAAGTAGTGTTGTATTTGCGAGTGAGAAACAGTGTAGAGAAGGAGTTTGAAATTTAGAATCTGGAGTCTTGAAATTCAAACCTGGCATCATAGTAGCTCTCTGCCTGGGGCAGTTGAAGCTTCCTTAGCTTTAGGTTTTCTGTTTTTTGGGGGTTTTTTTGTAGGTGAGGGTATATTGGGAATCAAACTCAGAACTTTGGGCTTGCCAGGGAGGTCCTTGTGCCACTGAGCTATATCCATGGCTTTTCTTAGCTTCAGTTTTTTTCATGTGCAAAACATAGCAATCCAGGTAGCTTACTGCTTAGGTTTTTTGGGGATTAAATGAGATTCTGTGTAGGAATTTGGGAACTACTTTATAATCAGCAAGCACTGTATAAGTTTTTTTTTTTTACTCTCAAAGTATATTATCTTACCAGTTTAATAACACCTTACATTCCCAAATATAAAGCAAGCCCAAGCCAGGCATAGAGACACACACTTGTAATCCCAGTACTCAGGAGGCTGAGGCAGAAGGATCTCCTAGAGTTGAGGCCAGCCTGGGCTAAATGAGTTCAAGGTCACTGTGAACTACAAAGCGAGATCCTGTCTCAAAAAAAATGAGCCCAAATATGAGGCAAAAATGCAGCTCCAAAGCCGGGCATGGTGGCGCATGCCTGTAATCCCAGCACTCAGGAGGCTGAGGCAGGAGGGTTGCCATGAGTTTGAGGCCAGCCTTGGCTACGTAGTGAGTTCAACGCATGCAAGACCCTGTCTCAAACCCCGCCCCTCCAAAATGCAGCTCCAACGTCATGCTGTTTTGTGCATCATGGGTGATGGAAGTGGAAAGAAGTTAAAAAAAGAAAAACAGTTCCATTTTCCTAATGAGATGACTTCCCTAAGTCAGTTGGTTTTTTTTTTTTTTTTTTGCTTCTAATTTAGCTATATAAACCTTTAGACATATAGATAAAATTAACATAAATTACCACTTGAAAATTTTATTATTCTGGTTACATATACATACTATATATACATACTTTAATCTTGAAATATATCACTTTAATAATTGCTTTTCACCCACTGACATGATTTTATTCAATTTTTAATGCATTTTTAATGGACATCTTAGTTGTCATTTTGTGAGTCCTCTAGCACAGTTTTTCAGAGCACATCATCTTCACTTCTAAGTTGCTTAAAATACAGAAATAATTTAGTTTATGATCCCATGTGTTGGGTTAGCAGAGGCCTTTGGCCTTTGCAAACAGGTTTATAAATACAGTTTTACTAGAAGATAGCCATATCTATTAGTTACTAATTGCTTATAGTTACTATTTTGGCAGAGTTAAATAGTTGTGCCTGAAACCATATGGTTCTAAAAGCTGAAGATATTTCCTCTGTGGGTCTGTATAGAAAAAGTTTGCTTACCTCTGACATACGACACCTGCAGTAGAAATTTTATCTCATCTATTCACATAACTAGGGTCTCTTTAAAATGCTTACAGTGTTGTTCAACATTTGCAGTTATGAAGCATTGAATTCTTTTTAATCTTTTCAATCAGATAACTCAATGTCCAAAACGGTCACTGGTAGGACTTATTGTAAGCAACTGTATCTTCCCTAATCAGTTCTTAATTTTTAAAACCAAAGTAACTGGAGGAAGCTTGAATGTTTAAGAACTCAAATATAAGGTAACTCACTTTTCCCTGAGGAATTTTCTTTCTTTTTTTTTTTTTTAACAATACAGTACTGGAGATTGAACTCAGGGCCTTCACACTGAGCTATAAGCCCAGCTATTGATTGATTGATTGATTGATTGAAAGGGTCCTGCTAAGATGCTGAGTTACCCAGGCTGGGCTCAGACTTGAAGTTGTCCTGCTTCAGCCTCTCAGAGTACTTGTATTACAGGCATCCACCACCATACCAGGCTTGAATTTGTGACCCTCTTGCCTCAGTGTCCTGAGGTAGTTGGGATTCCAAGGTATACCATCATAACCTGGCTGGAGGATTTTTTTAGGGAAAAAATAATTGCCTTAGAGTTGAGCACATACTGTATTGGCAATCTTCACTGTTGAAGAGGAGGGACTGAGTGATTTCTTAGGCATTCTTACTGTTTATATTCATTTCTTTTCTGTTTCATGATTGTATGAATTTTTTTTTTGAATATCTTAATGTATATTCAAAGTGGAATACACAAAGCTCCAACTGTTCACTGATTTGAAGTCTCAGAATCACATAAGGTTTCTACAGACTTTCCATTAGAAATTAATTAACTGCAACAGTAAGTTTGGTAGGAAATTTTGTCCTGTTTAAATTGTGCTTGTGTGTGTACAGCGGTCCAGGATCAAACCAGGGGCCTTGTACATGCCAGGCAAGTGCTGTACCACTGAGCTACATCCCCAGCACTCAGTTAAACAAAAATTTTTAAAAAGTGGAACAGTATTAAAAAAGAAAAAGTTAATAATAACTTGCAGAAGACATCCTGATTCTGCCCTGACTTTGAAGCAGTTTGTTTTATGACTAGAATTTGGTAAAATAGCAATGAGAATATAAAACTGAAACAGCAGATGGATAGATAAGAAACTTCTTTTTTTAAGGGAGAAAGGTTTATTTAGCTGACAGTTTGTGGAAGTTTCAGGCCGTGGCTGGCTTCTGGGCAGGTGGCATGGCAGAGGGCAACAGTAAATGGCGGTAGAAAACAGCAAAAGCAACCAGAGAGGGAGAGGGAACGCTCTTGAACAATACTTTGTTTCCAGAATGTGCTAAGTACAACATATATGTTCTATTCTTAGCTTTTGAGAGTGAAATTTGGAAATACAAATCTTATTTCTAAGTTACATAAACAGTGGAAATAAACTCCATATGCCCATAGCAGAATTAATCTGTTTTTCTCTATTTATGTCCGTGTCTTAAAGAAAATGAAGGAAAATTACCTTCTGACACTATGTGAGGAGTTTTAAGGAAGTGAAGAAGCTGGTACGGGTAGCACATGACTATATTCTAGCACTCTGGGATGCTGAGGCAGGAGGATCAAAAGTTTAAGCCCAGCCTTGGGATTTACTGATATCCTGTCTCAAAATTTAAAAATAATTAAAAAGGGCTAGGGCTGTAGCTCAATATGAAGGCCTTAAGTTCAGTCCCCAGTAGCCCCCCACCTGTACACACATACAAAGTGAAACACCACTTGCTAATCTGTAACTTACATTTATTTGTTTGTTTATTTATGGAGACAGGGTCTTGCTATATAGCCCAGGATTGCCCCAGACTCAAGGTAATTCTCCGGTCTCAGCCCCCCAAGTGCTAGTATTACAGGCATGCACCACCATACCCGGCTTCTTACATAAAATTAATTGATTTCACTTTTTTTTTAGATAGTACTTGGGATTGAACCCAGAGCATTTGCACTGAGCTGCGTCCCCAGTCCACTTAAAAATTTTTTCTGTTTGAGACAGAATCTCACTAAGTTGCCCTGCTCCACAGCACAGCTCCTGCTGGCAAGCATGAGGTCAAAAGTTCAATTCCTGGTACCAGACAAAATGAAACAAAACTAATTTAGTTGCCCAGGCTGGGCAGAAACTTGCAATCCTGCTTCCGCCTGGAAGAATGCAGAAATTCCAGGTCCCCCACCATGCCCAGCTGATTTCACTTAAATTTAATGGAGGCACTATTTTCACCTCCATATTATCTACTGAACAAAAACACCAGTAGATATTTAACTTTTGTTTCTGTTTTTTGTTTTCATGGATTCAATTCATGGTCTTTATATTGAGTTATGCCCATCTCTAGTCTCTTTATTTTTTATTTTGAGATAGCATCTTCAAAACTACTAAGTTGCTCAGGTTGGTCTCAAACTTGTAACCCTCCTCTGTCAGCCTCCAAAAGTGCTGGGATTATATAGAGTGGTACACTTGGCTTTCCTACTTCTTTTTTAAAAAATTTATTAAATATGATCATAAATTTAAAAATCAGCTGAGTTTTTGCATTTTAAAATACTTCATAACAAAAGAGAGGTGGTAAGACTATGGAGCCCTGGCCTAGGACCACTGATCTCTTGCTTAGGGATACGATGACAGAGTAAAACACAGACAAGATACGTATTTTAGTTCCAAGGGGAGACAGATGGTCAGAGTCACAGAAGTAAGAACCCGAGCCACTCTGTCCCTGGCCTTCATTAGGTGCACAGCTTGATGGGGCAGGCGGTGCTGGTGGCTGCAGAACGTGATGAGGTGAACAGCTGACGCAGGCAAGGCTTAAGGATTGAAAGAACAAAGCATTTTTAAACAGATCATGGTTAAATAGTAACCTGATTACCTGCTGAGACTACTGAGCTAAAAGAGGAATTTGGGTGAGTCAAAGTCCTCAGCTGTAGTGTATTTCTTGCTTTGAGGCACCAGGACTTCACAGACCATTTGCTGGTTTGGGTCCTGGCTTTTGGCTTGGGGATTAACTTCATCCCCACACCAGCCACGGGTCTCACCACAAGTGACTTAGGCCTAGGACAGACTCTTGATTCAATTCATTTTTATGTCAGTTTATTAATATCAATCATTGCCTGCTCTGCACTGCATCAAGCTGGCCCTCAGCCCTAGAGGAAATTAGAAGATGGTTCTTACTCTCCCGAATGACAGGAAGCCACCAAATTGTCTTCAAAAGATGGAAACCTAAGAATGGTCGTCTGTGATGGAAATCAGCCAGAAGCTCTAAGTCAGAATGACCACATCTCCTTAACATACAGGTCTTTACCACCTGAACTTTAAGTCTTCTTTGTCAAATCCCATTCTGATTTACCTGCTTCCCTACAAATCTGTATAATTCAAAATAGGTTAATTTTGCTTGAGATGTCTGATAAGAAACAATTTTGGATATTTCCTGTTTGTCAGAGAGGCCTGCACAGATGTGTGAAACAAAGCATGACAGCTGTTGGTAGTTCTCTGAATAAGGAGATGGGGATGGAGAGAATCTTATTTCTGTTACTAAATAGAAAAGAGCTGGGGAAGGTGAAGATATACTAATGATCACTAGGAGTGAATTATAAGAGCTTTATTGTTGGAGCCTAAGTATCTGAGCAGGGTCCTTCCCTGGATTATAAATACGTGACTGTGTTATAGGCGAAAATGTCCACCTCGGTTCTGCTGATGGACAACCCAAAGATTCTGGACCTCTTCCTCAAGTGGAGAAGAAGCTCAAGTGTACCGTTGAAGGATGCGACCGGACGTTTGTGTGGCCAGCTCACTTCAAGTATCACCTCAAAACTCATCGGTGAGCAAACCTGAGGTCTCATATTTGGAGCTTAAGAACAGTGATACTTCCTGAGAATCTTGTCCCCTAAATTGACAAATTGAAGGAAAGTAGAGACTACAGCTAACTTCTGGTTAAGATGTTTCTTAGCCTTTTATTTTCCCCCCAGTGCTGGAAATCAAACCTAGGGCCTTATGCATATTAGACAAATGCTGTGAGCTGTATGTACCCAACACTCTTTTATTTTTTAATAAAAAGATTGTCATTGTATTATTTATGCTATTCTTGATTTAAATAAGATTGTTGACACTTAAATGTCTCATCATGAATTCTCAAACTCATTATAAAAGTTTTTTTAAAGTTTTACGTAAAAAAACAAAAAAACTTTTGTAAGTAATGACTGTAATGTCCATTACTCAGGGTTGAGGCAGGGGGATCACAAATTCTAGAGGTCAGGCTGGGCAACTTAGCAAAGCTGTCTCAAAATAAAAAGGGCAGGGGGGATGTGACTTGGTAGTAGAGCACCTCCCTAGAATGTGAGAGCCCTGAGGTCAATCCCCAGTACCTCCAGCAAAATAAAACAGAAATACATAAGCCTGGGCTCCTATGCGAAACCTATGAAGTTAATATGGGGGGACAGGGTCCTGTAATTTTAAGGAACTCTTCAGATTATTCTGATATATCCAGGTTTGAAATTTACTGTGTGCCTTGAGAGTGATGAGTTTTGACTTCTCAACTCTCGCAAAGGTATTTCCAGGAACTGTTATTTACATGATTATTTTTGCAGAAATGACCGCTCCTTCATCTGCCCTGCAGAAGGCTGTGGAAAAAGCTTCTATGTGCTGCAGAGGCTGAAGGTGCACATGAGGACACACAATGGGGAGAAGCCCTTTATGTGCCCTGAGTCCAGTTGTGGTAAGCAGTTCACTACAGCTGGAAACCTCAAGAATCACCTGCGCATCCATACAGGTGTGTGCAACCCAGTGCTCGCTGGCAGCCTCCTTGGCTCAGCGGTTGCTTGCCTCTCCGTGGAAGTGAGGAGACTGGGCTGTTGCTAGAGCACTGAAGATGTGGTTCATTTTTTAAAATGCTTCATTATACTTTTCAGTTCATATAATAATATATTAAACTTCACCTGTATGTGAGGAGTGGACAGTGTTGATATCTGCCCATAGGAGCCTAATGTGTAGGAAGAAGTGGATTTTCTTAGGTAATAATAAGGAGGAGATAGAGACAAAATCAGTCTGTTCTCAAATCTAAACAGTGCATAATTGTATTTTGGGCAGTAACATCGAGTCATACAAAACATACTGAGCACTAAATGGGATAAGGTGGGGAAAATACAAAAGCTAAGATGTAGTCTTTGACTTTAAGGAGTTTGCTTTCTTGTTAAGAGCTTCACAACGTAAGGAGAATGGGAAGTAACTTGTTCTGGGTTGTACAGCCTGTTAGTATCAAAGGAGTAAAATAAAAATTTCTTAACTCTTAGTCTAAGAGTCTAAGGTTGGTTTTCCAAGCCACTTGTTAATATGGTCATCTGGGTTCAGTGTTGATCATTGAACCCAGATGACCATCTGAGGATGTACAGTTGGTCCCTGTGCTCTTGCCACTTTGTCTCTTTGTTCATTCTTCATTGCTAAAATGATACCAGGTACAGTTAAAGGATATTGTATTTAAAAAAGTATATCCTGAGGTGAGGGCACAGTTGTCCTAGGTGTTAAGCTTTGTGGATTGATATAACTTCTGAGTATGTTTGAGGCAGACTAGTTTTCTCTTTTCTTTCAAGTTTTCTCTCTTGAAAGAGTAAATTATACTTTCTCCAAGAAAGCAATTTGAATAAGCACCTTGGCAGTCCTCTAGCTAAATAGCTAGGAAGCAGAGCTACCACAGCCTGTTGTTACATTTCAGTGACCTTTCCATGCTTGTGCTGCTTGTCAGCTTTGTAGCATTTGTTAACATTGAACATCTTTACTTTCTCTTTATTTTCTGCTGGTTTTCCCCCTTCATTTGGACTTTCGCGAGCTCTTACCTTTGCTCACTAATTTTAGTAATCTGAGGCCTCAGTTGAACCATTTTTGCTGGAAGTCTCATAGATCTAAATTTCAATCATAATATAATAAAAGCATTTTGGAGGCACCTATTACGTACCACCCACATGTTTATTATCTCCTTTAATCTTTAACATAACAGTAGATGCTACACTTATTGATAAAGAAATAGAAGGTTAGAGTTAAGTAAATTGCCCAGCATCACAGAACTGAATTTTTTTTTTTTTCTTTTTGGTACTGGGAGTTGAACCCAAGCCCTTCGCACAGTGCTACATTTCTAGCCCTTTTTGATTATTAATTTGAGATGAGGTCTTGCTAAATTACCCAGGCTGTGCTCAAACTTGTAACCCTGCCACAGCCTGCCAGAGTACGTGGTGTGTGTCATCGTGTCTAGCTGGATTAAATTGGCTTCATTTATGTATATATGTTTGTAATTTGCAAGACTAAAGATTGAACCTAGCTATATCTCTAGCCCTTACTTTGATTTTTTTTAACCTCAGGGTTTTTTGTTTGTTTTTTTTTTTGAGACAGTCTTGCTATATAGTTCAGGCCGGCCTTGAATCCAGTATGTAGCCAAGGTGGCCTTGAACTCCCAAGTGCTAGGATTACTGGTGTCTCCACTGAGAGTACTTCAAGCTGCTAATTTTTTGTGGGTTATTGTGTGTCAGGAACTGTGGTGAAATATTTAAATTTTATATATCATTTAATACTCAAAATTGTCTTTTGAGATTATATTATGTTTCACAGATGAAAAGCTGATTCTTAGAGAGATTAAATATCTTCCTTGTACTAATAAGTGGTAGCACCAGGATTTTTGGGGGGTAGGGTACCCGGAATTGAACTCATGACCTCACACTTGCCAGGCAGGCACAGTGCCGCTGGGCTGTGTCCCTGGCTCAACACCAGGATTTGAACTGACAACTGACTGATTCTCAAGCCCATATTAACTGTTTTGCTGCACTGCCTTTGAAATGTCCTCTTCCTACTCCTTTGTCTCTTATCTTGACAAGATCACAATCCTCCCAGTTTCCACACAGGGAAGTCCTGTCCCCTAGGCCAGCCTGATGCAGAGATTTCACAGACTAGATTCTGAGATGGGATCTGTTTCTAAATCCTCTTATTATTTAAACTCTTCTTAAACACTTGACCTTATCATTAAAATTTTTTCTTTTCCTAACATTCTGTCATGTATTAATATTACATTTATTCACTCAGAAACTTCTTTAGTGCCAAGTCTTCTAGGATTGGTGTGAGAAAAAGTTACAGAGTATTTGGGGTAGTTTAGTGGTGGAGCTCATGCCTAGCGTGTGCGGCCCTGGATTTGATCCTTGCCCACCAAACAAAACAAGCTACAGACCAGTGCGAACCCTAGCGTTCATCTGTGTGGTGTGGTCTAAAGACCAGTGCAGTTTAGCACAGTGCTGCTGCTCCCGCTAGGCCTGGCCTCTGTGTCTTTACCTCACTGGCTGTGTTTTGAGTTTACTTCAGGCACTCTCACTTTCAAGCTTCTGTGCACAGTATTCCTTATGGCTTAAATTTTTTCCTGTCCTTCTCATCTTTTAAGACCAGGTAAAATTCAGCTTCTTTCAAAAAATTACTGTAGTTGGAGTTACTCTTCTTCTATTTTTTTCACCTTTTTTTTCCTTTAACTCTTCTTCTAAATGCTTATGCAGGAACTTGTGTTACAGTTAAGGAATATTTGTCTCCTACTAGCCTGATCCTTGGAGGACAGATCTGTATCTTTGATTTTTTTTTTCTTCCTTTTTAAAAAAATGGTACTGGGGGTTGAGACATGCTGTGCACATGCTCTGTGACTGAGCTATACCCCAGCCCTTGCTTTTAAAATCAGTTCATTAATTAATTTGTTTTGCAGTACTGGAGATTAAAGCCAAGGCCTTGTGTACGTTTCATTGAGCTACACTCTCAGCCTGTTCAATATCTCACTAAATTTCCCAAGCTAGCTTTAACTTTGTAACCCTCCTTCCTCAGAGTGCCGAGTAGCTGGGATTAACCACCTACTCAGCTTTTTATTTTGAAATAATTACACACTTGCAAGTTGCAAAAAATAGTACATACAGTTCTTTGTGTCTGTCACCTGGCTTCACCAAAATGTGACATCTTAGGTACCCTAAGTAACAATGTCAAACTCAAGAAATTAACATTACTATCAACTAGTCTGCAAACTTTACTTAGTTTTCACTATGCAGCACTTGTTTGTTCGTTTATTTTCTTGCAGTTTTAAAGATCAAACCCACGGCCTTTTATGTGGTAGGCAAGCACTCTTAACACTGAACCACACCTCCAAGCTTTCATTTTTTTTAATAAAATGATATTATAGAAAATTAAAATAAGAGCCGGACGTGGTAGCGCACACTTGTAATCCCAGCACTTGGGAGGCTGAGGCAGGAGGATCATTGCAAGTTCGAGGCCAGCCTGGGCTACAAAGTGAGCTCAAGGTCAGCCTGAACTGCATAGCGAGACCCTGCCTCAAAAAGACAGAAAAAAAAAAAACCCTGAAAATTAAAATAAGAGAAAAACACAAAGAAAAGTCTGTGGATCCCATCTCAGAATCTAGTCTGTGAAATCTCTGCATCAGGCTGGCCTAGTCTGTGGATGGCAGCACATGCTTGTAATGCCACTATTCTTGGGAGGCTGAGGCAGGTGGATCATAGATTCAAGCCCAAGCTGCAGAACCTAGGAACTTAGTGAGACCCTGTCTGAAACATACAAAATAAAAAAGGGCTGAGGATGTAACCCAGTGTGAAGAGCCTGGTTTCAGTACCATGAAAAAAAAGAAAACGAGAGAAGGAAAGAAAAGATGTGCAGAACAACTATATAGATGTAGCCACTTTCACAATATCTTCACAGACTTTACTGCATATCTGCAACTAAGTATCTGTCTTCCCATTATTTTGTAAAATGGGACTATATAATACCTTTTTCAGACCTTTTAAAATCTGTATTTTTAAGTGAATCTGGAAAGTTGGTTAATCTTTTTTGTTTGTTTTAATGGTGCTGGGCATAGAACCCAGGGCCCTGTGCATGCTGGGCAGTGCTGTTAGCACTGAGCTACCTTGCAGCCCACACAGTTAACCTTGGTGCCACCCAGAAGATACAGGATCGTTGGACTTGGAGAGGTCAGCCCTTCCGTCGAGATGGAGAAGGAAGTATGAGGCTTACAGGCAGTCCTTCTAAGGAAACAGGCAGGGCTGTGTGGCAGATGGCACACTAGGTTCTGAGAGACAGAACTTTCTAGGTAGCCTGTTGAAATCGTATAGCATGCCAGGCATGTGGTGGCACATGCCTGTAATCCCAGCACTCAGGAGACGCACTACAAGTCTGAGGCCAGCCTGGGCTCCATCTCGAGTTGAAGGCCAGCCTGAGACCCTGTCTCAAAAGAACAACAAAGAAATATATAGCATGAGCTAAAGAAATTGGGGAAAAATGTCATTCAAAACAGAATAAAGTTGATGGAAAAAGTCATTTCATCAGAAGACTGAGTCTTTATCTCATTTTCTATCTCCAGGAGAGAAACCTTTTCTTTGTGAAGCCCAAGGATGTGGCCGTTCCTTTGCGGAGTATTCTAGTCTTCGAAAACATCTGGTGGTTCACTCGGGTATGAGAACTTGTACCATTTGTAGATTTCAGGAAAGGAGCCAGACAAGAGCAGAAGGGAGGGTGGTGTAAAGAAATCTAAAAGGAAAGAAACTGTTTACCCTACACATACATAAAGCTTCTGATTCACGACTGAGTCAGAAATCAAGACTTCTAATAATTATGTTTAAAGGATCTCCGAACAGTAGGGGGGATCTAACAGTACTTCCTGCTGAGTCACAGAACTATTTCTAATCCAGACCTTTTTATGAGATCAGCAAACTTTTTCACACTGTACTGGATCCTTTGTAAGTTACATCAAACATGGATCCTGTTTTTTAGGAATTTATATTTCATTCCTTTGGGGGAGGACTTCAAATTAGAAGGACGTTGTTAGTGATAGCACCAGTAGTAGTAAGCCTCCTGAGAAGGTGTTGGTGATCTTGTTTAGTCATCATTTTGGTAGAAACTGTGCCTCTGACTATTAGAACCACATTGTCACCACTAGTCCAAGAGAGAGAAGAGTTTTAATGACCCGTTTTCTGTTTTGCATTCTTAAGTTAATTCCTTGTAATTCTGTCAAATTGCTCATTCTGTGCAGATGACGTGGTCTCCCCTGCTAAAGATGTCTTTCAAAATATCTGAAAATACTCTACACCAGCCAGACCTTGGAAGCTCAATAGAAAAAGCTTAAGTTTCCCTTCCCTCCTTTCCTGTCCTCCCAAACGGAAGCCTACAACTGTATCTTGGTGGGACTGCTACCTGTGAGACTTCATAAATTATATTGAAAGCAGGCTGAAAACATAAGAAGGGCCTAGAATACCAGGAAAGAATTTGTAGAGCCTACTGAAGGTACATCCAGATGAGAACTCATTTTACTGTAGAGTAATCTGGCAGTGATACATAAGCTAAACTGAGAGAAGATTTTTTCTTTTAGAATGGTCAAGAATCTGTCCCAGGGCTAAGGATGTAGTTCAGTGGTAGAGCACCTGTCTAGCATGTGCAAGACTCAGCCCCACCAGAAAAAACCAGTCTGCTCCAAGGAAGTCCTAGGGCCATATGGAAAGAAACCAGTAGCAACATCTCTGTGATTCCACAGTTGACTGGATATAAAGTAACAGGGAAATAGAAGCGACCGCAGACTGTTGATTTAAGAAGTGTGGTAGTAAAGATAAGGAGGAAGGGTCGGCCACGTCCTTGTCACGCTGGCTCACAGATTGATGAGAAGGGGTTAGAGAAGTGTTGGAAAGGGGCTGGGGATTTAGCTCAGGTTGTGAGTTCGATTCCCGGTACCGGGAAAAAAAAAAAAAGAGAAGTGTTGGAAGAGATGATCGTGAGTATCAGAGGGACCCAATAGACTCATCTTGGAATTGGGAAAATTCCCCATAAATGGTAGAAACTTACTGATTGAACTTATTAATTGTCATGAATAAAAGGACCGAAAAGAGGCAGTGAGTGTTCAAAGCCATTCTGAACTACACAGTGAGACCTTGGCTTAAAAAAAAAAAAGAATTCAGCAAGGTCTGGTGCTACAGTTGAAGTCCTCTTAAATCTAGACCTTTTTGCTTTCACTTATATTTTCATACTTACTGCAGAACAGTCAGTTGGGTTCTACAGAATATCTCACACTCTGGATTTGTTGGTTAGTTTCCTTTTATGTCATTTAATTTGTTTCCTGTATTTACTATAAATTGAAGTAAGCTGTAAAGCAGGTATGCCTGACCTGCTGGCTGCATGCATCCTTGGATAGCTAGTAAGGCAGCTTCACAAGATCATAAACTTTCAGTATTATTATGTAACTGAGCAGCTTTACTTACTTTTGGTTTTTTGAGTCAGTGTCTCACCATGTAGCCCCGGCTGGCCTTGACCTTGCAGCTGTCCTCCTGCCTCCACCTCCCAAGTGCTGAGGCTACGGGAGTGCATCACCGTGCCTGGCCTGGTTAGCAGCATTTTCCATACCTCTACCTCTTGGGTTCTAGTGCAGACTAACCAGGCAACAGCAAAATGGTGTGTGTGGGAGGGCACAATGCAGTACTGCCTCCTGCGCCCTCCCCACACAGTCAAATCGAAAGCCATGTGTCAGGTGACATGCAGAGTGTGTGGCTTGGCGAGTGAAAGGCAGTACTTCTCTTTCTGTATGGCTGATTTCTCTTTTCCACCTGGTGATGGGCATATAGGCTGCTTCTGTGATGTAGCTATTGTGAAATGTGCTGCTATAAGCATAACTATGCATGTATCACTGTAATATGCCAAGGAGAGGTATATCTGGGTCAAACGGCATTTCTAGCTAGGTGTTGTGGGGTACACCTGTGATCCCAGCACTTGGGAGGCTGAGGCAGGAGGACAGCTCTTGAGTTGAGGCCAGCCTGAGCCTATGTAGTGAGACTGTCTCAAAAAACAAGTAGCGTTCCTACTTTTTAGTTTTTTGCGGACCCTCCATAATGATTTCCACAGTGGTTGTACTAGTATACACACTTACAATGTAGGACAATTCCCTGCCGCCCCACCCCACCCCACCCCCACCAACCCCACTAACCCAACTAGCATTTGTTATTTTTTGAATCTTTTTTTATTTTTTTATTTTTTTTTTTGCACTGGGAATCAAACTTGACCTCAGGCTTGCCAGGCAAGCGCTTAAGCCACTGAGCTATACCCTCGGACCGTATTTTTTGAATCTTTGATGATGGCTATTCTTACCGGAGTAAGGTAGAATCTCAGTGCTGTTTTGATTTGCATTTTGCTAATGGTCAGAGCCTGAACATTTTTCATGTTTATGTTGGCCATTTGTATTTCAATTGCCCATTTTTTGATTGGGTCTTTTATTATGCGGGGGGGATCTAATTTTTTTTTTTAGTTCATTATATATTGTAGATACTAGACCTCTGTCTTTACCAGCTGGTAAAAAAATTGTTTTTAAAAGGGCCAGGGATATAGATGTAGCTCAGTGTAAAGCCGTGGGTTCAGTCCTGAGTACTGTAGGTTTTTTTTCCCTGGTACCGGGAATCGAACTCATGACCTCGCACTTGCTAGGCAGGCGCTGTGCCGCTGAGCTAAATCCCCAGCCCCTCTGAGCACTGTATTACCAAACAACAACAAAAATCTAAAAGAATTTTAGATTTAAAAAGAATCTAAAAAGAATTAAAGACCTTTAAAAGAAGGAGAAAAAACAGGGTGAAGGTATAGAACTATAATCAAGACTTCTTTGACTTTACATATTTGTAAGAATAACATTAAAATTTACAAACTCTACCACTTGAGAAAAAAATTGAAATCTATTAGGCAAGTGAAATAGTAAAACAACCATTGGATAGTTAGACAAAGTATTTTGACTGCATATCCTTAAAAGAGTATATTGTAAGAAGAACACAACTGTAACCTACAGAATAGGGGGGAAAAGATAAATATTCTGCTATATGATCTGAACTGGTCACTCACCTTCCTCTAGGAGTCTGCCAGAACTGCCAGGTGTTAACCTAGGAGTTCAGCATCTTCCCATCGGCTTGAACCACCAGTGGTACATGCATGACTGCCCGTCAGGCAGCTTCTACCACTGGTGGTACAAATGGGTCTAATCACTCTCACTACTCTTTTTACCAGTACAGTTAATAAAAAGCCACCTGATGGGACAGTCATGCACGGACCACCAGTTGCTTAAGCTGCCTGGCAGCACGGCTTACAAATTACAGCCCCATCGCTGACCCGCCTTTCAACCCCTTTCATACTGCTGAATTGGGGGCTGTCTCTGAGGGTGTTTCTTTTATCTTCGTATTCTGTGGACCTGAACTGTTCCTTAAGGGCAGTGCTTTCTCCACAATCCCTTGGTTGCTAATTTTTGTGTCAACTCATGTACCCCTCTGTACTGCTATTTCTTCTCTGTTCTCCATGAGAAACCCAGCTCTCTCAAAATATATCTCATGAAACTTGTGCATTACCCACCTATTTTTGTTATCCACTGGCTTCCTATGCATTGTCTTTGTTGGTGTTTTTGATGCTGTGAATATCCCTGAGGAATATAAAGAGGAAATACTTCACAGCCATCCTGGTTGTACAGAATTGCCCTGTGTGAAGTGAAAGTATATATGCACTAGATGAGAGGAAAATAAAATTGAATCTTTTTTCTTTTTTTTTTTTTTTTATACCGGGAGTCGAACTCCCAACCTCATGTTTGCCAGGCAGTGCTGTGCTGCTGTGCTAAATCCCTCCCCCAGTTAAATCTTATATATCCTTAATTAAAGGAAACATGCACTCAGGAGGCTGAGGCAGGTAGAAAGGCCACCCTGGGATACACAGTGTAAGGCCAGCAGGAACTACTTAGTGAGACCTTGTCTAAGGGGGTGGGGGAGTATATAAGACAAACGTGCTTTTAGAGAGGAAAATGGTATCTCCTTGAGAGATTTTTCTTCATACGTAGTGTGTACCATGTTAGGTCTTAGGAGAAACTGAAACCCAAAATAGCATTAAGTAGATGAGTAAATATGTTGTGTCTAAATCCCATAAGAAAAATAAATAAATACCATAAGATTAAATAAATTCATTGCGGCTCTGTATCCTCAGTGACAGACTTAGTTTCCTTTTTTTCATTCAGTAGAAATAAAAAGGGATGGTTTTATTGTTAGGTGGTAGTCACAAGACTGTTGTTAATCACCTCTAATATTACAATACTGGATTCATAAAATTGTTTTTGTAAGAAATAATAATTCCTCCCAATAAACCTGCTGTTCTTAAAAATAATTTTTTTTTAATTTAAAAAATTAAAAATGTGTAGGTGGAGTGTGGTGGTATATGTTGTGATCCTAGCTCAGAAGGCTGAGGCAGGAGGATTGCTGTAAATTTGAGGCAACCGTTGACTACACAGTGAATTCAAACCCAGCCTGAACTACACAGTGAGACCCTGTCTCAAAAAAAAAAAATTGCTGTTTGGAGGTTTTTAACATATTTATAGTTTTGCAGTTGTTGGATTATCCAATTCCATAAGATTTCATTCTTCCCAAAAGAATCCCCATATCTTGTAGCAGTCATTTCCTATTTCCGTCTTCCACTGGCCCCTAGGAACCATTAGCCTATTTTCTGTCAATGGATTTGTTTGTTCTACACAATACTTTCCATATGAGTGAGGGTACAACGTGTCATTTTGTATCTGATTTCTTCAACTGGTACATGTTTTCAGGTTTCATTCACGTTGTATTTTATCAGCACATCATTTTTCATGACTGAATAATACTTTATTGTTTCCATGTGCTAAATGTTGGCTATTATGCATAAGGCTGCTATGAACGTTTCTGTACAAGTTTTTGCATGTTTGTGTGGTTTTGTTTTTTTTTTTTTTTTTGGTTTTTCTCCGGTACTGGGAACCGAACTCACGACCTTGCGCTTGCCAGGCAGGCACTTTGCCGCTGAGCTAAATCCCCAGCCCCAATGTTTGTGTGTTTTTATCTCTATTACGTGTATGCCCAGGAGTTGAATTGCTAGTCACATGATAACTCTCCATTGAACTTTTTGAGGAACTGCAAGGTTTTCAGAGTAGCTGCATTAGCTGGGTGTGGTGAAACACACTGGTAATCCCAGTACTTGGGAGGCTGGGGCAGGATAATCACCATGAGTTCAAGGCCAGCCTGAACTATAGTGTGACTCTGTCTCAAAACCAACAAAAAAAGAGTACCTGTGTCACTTCTAACATGATGATCTGAACTACCTGTGTCAGTGCTGGCAAACCCGTGGCCTGCGTGCCACAGTGGGCGGGCTGCCTGTTATCCCTGACAGTGAAGAAAAGAGTGTCTGTACACCCAGATCCCTCCATTTCTTGATCTGCTTCCCATTTGCGAAAGATCTCTCTCCCTACTTCCTATAATCTTCTATTTTGCTTTTCTGTATATTTGGAGTTTCTCATGTAAGAGAAACCATGTGCTATTTAAGCTCGTGTGCCTGATTTATTTCACTGAACTACTGTATTTGGTCTTACACAAAGGGGTCAGAAACATATACACTACAAGGATAGCTTGTTTAATAAATGGTCCTGGGGAAGCAGGCTGTCCACACGCAGAACCATGTCCCTGCCTCTCACCATGTTCCTGCCTCTCACCATGTTCAAAACCAAAATCAAAGTGAACTGAAGATTTAACTGTTCAACGGCTGTCTAATCTGCTAGAAGATAAAATAGGGAAAACTCCTGAAGTCATAGTGTAGGCAAAGGCTTTCTGAACAGAGTCCTGGTTGCACAGGAAACAATACCAAGAAGCAACACATGGAACCATACAAATTAAAAAGCTTCTGGGCATGGGTTTTTGACCCCTGGTCTAAATGTGGTTGCGAGTAGGTGGAATGGAGACAAAGAGTTTTGGACGGAAGAACGCGGAGCAGTGATGGCAAGCCTTTTAGAGCTGCCAGGGATAACAGGCAGCCCGCCCGCTGTGGCACACAGGCCACGGGTTTGCCGCCACTGACACACGCAGCTCAGATCATCACGTTAGAAGAACTGCCAGTGTGGACGTTGAAGATTTTGGTGCCGCAGAATGAGATGGCGTATTGTGAACCCAGGATTGGTACATGTCGGACAGATTCATGGAAGACTGTCTGACAGTGGAAGTAAGTTATCTGCGTTGGGACCAGGATCCCACGTCAAAGAGACTGTGGTGGAAGTCGCAGTACAGTGGGTCTGGAAAGGAATGGGGCTGGCAGTGGTGTGAGCCTTCCTGCTTTACCCTCCCGGCCTCCTCCGTGTACTGAAAGATAAGAAGTCAGGGAAGGGAGAGCGTGGGGAAAGGCCTCTTACAGTCTCTTACAGGTAACAGACTCTTGCCTTCTGCATCTGTAGTCTATTGCTTTGCCACCAAAAATAGACTCCATTGTCTGGCTGCCTTGTCCTCACCGCCTGGGCCCTGTTTCAGGAGAGAAGCCTCACCAGTGCCAGGTCTGCGGGAAGACCTTCTCCCAGAGCGGGAGCAGGAACGTGCACGTGAGGAAGCACCACCTGCAGCTGGGGACGGCTGGGAGCCGAGAGCAGGAGCAGACCGGTGAGGAGGGCACAGGTGGAGGGCTGTGTCTCCCGGTGTCCCAGAGCCCAGCCACCAGCACATCTGGGGATCCTCTGATTCCGTTCTGGGTGGGGAGACTGGTTTCACTTGATGGGCTGGCAGTTTCTAAACAAGCAGGGTTTTTGTTGTGTTTTGGTTTTGGTTTTTGGAGACAGGCTCTCCCTGTATAGTCCAGGCTGGCCTCCGAGTTGCAGCAGTCCTTCTCCCTCCACCTCCCAGATCCTGGGATTGTGGGTGTGCACCACCACACAGCATGTAGACTTTTAAAACATGTATTTCCTTGCTGGTCATCCACTCCCCACTTGTACAGAACAAAATAACCTGATAAATGAAATAATTTGTGAGTCTCCAGAATCCGTTGTTTCAAAAGTTCCCATAGGGGCTGGGGTACAGCTCATTGGTAGAACGCTTGCCTAGCATGCATAGGTGCTGGGTACAGTCCCCAGCACTGCAAAAAAAATAGGGGCTGAGGATTTAGCTCAGCAGCATAGCGCCTGCCTGGCAAGTGCAAGGTTGTGAGTTCGATTCCTGGTACCAGAGAAAAACCAAAAAAAAAAAAACAAAAAATAAATTACTGAGTTCCCCCAGTGCCACCAGCACGTACCTGCAGTTCCCACACACTTAGGACACAGAGGTGGGAGGCTCTGTTGAATCCAGGAGTTTGAGACTAGCCCGGGTAGCACAGTGAGACCTAGTCTCAAAAACAAAAAAAAAACAAAAGTTCACCTAGTGATTTTGATAATAATTAACGCTGGTTCATAAACCAGAGTTTGACTAGCGTGGTAATGAGAAGATTTCTATATGACAAGAGCTGATGTATTTTTTTGCTCATTAGTTGTGACTACCTTTGCCCCACCTTAAATTTGATAACTTACTCCTTTTCCAAGTATTTCCTCAATCAGTTTTCATTCCAAATACTGCCGAAGATCAGTCTGTCCCATTTTTTTCACATGGTGATCACAAAGATAATTATCCCTGCTCACCCCTCCCTTCTAGGTTTATTCTTGTTTCCTGAAAGTAGGTGAAACAGGTGGCATCTGAGATACACGTTAGTTCCTAGTTTGGGAAGAGAAGGCCAGCCTTCCTGGTTAGGAAGATGAGGACCAGGCACGGCTCGATTGCTTTGTGTCTCTCACACTCTCTTCTCTGTGCAGCTGAGCCACTCATGGGCAGCAGTTTGCTTGAAGAGGCTTCAGTACCCAGTAAAAACCTGGTGTCTATGGATTCCCAGCCCAGCCTTGGTGGAGAATCCTTGAACCTACCAAATACCAATTCCATCCTGGGAGTGGATGATGGTAAGACTTCAAGTTCTCCTTTATTTGGGGGCAATGGGTTGCAATTAGGGACTAAAGAATGGGGTGTCTCCAAAGTGGAGGTTGTACCTTTTGTGCGTGGCTGTGGTATGATTGAGTAGAATTTGTGTTCTTATTCTCTGGGATGGTTAAATGAATTTGTTTTTTTAAAAAAATTAACTGAAGATGATACAACAGAAGAATAAAGAGAAAAAATTTAAAAGAGAAAATTATTCGTAATCCTAGCATCCTAGCCCAACTATTTCTGTCTTTCCTATTGCAGTTATGGAAGAACTTAACTTTTAAAACATTTAAACAGAACATAACCAGGTTTTACAGAGGAAATATAAAGCAATTTCTCCATACCTTCAAAAGCCATATCTTCTGGAGAAAAGAAAGGGCCCTGTAGGAGTTGCTCCTCTCTGGTATAGAAATTTCACCCAAGTTACACAGGCCAGGCCCTCTGCTCTGAAAAACTTACCAGGTGAGGTCAGCATGCATTTATTCAGTGCCTACTGTGCGCCTGGCACTATGGGAAAGGCAAAAGTAGGAGATAAGGCCTTAAAATCCAGTTGAGAAGTCAAAATTTACATACGTGTTCAAAACAACATTAAGTAAATAGGCAATACATTGACAAACATTATATTTTAAGGTACAGTATGGAAGAGCAGTAGAAGCTACAAAGCCCCTATGTGAAGCTTGTAGTTTATTGAGGGCTAAATGGTTTACCTGTAAACTATTCCCAGAAGATTTTCATGGTGACCCCACTGATAAGCACTTAGTAAGTGTGAGGTCCTGTGTTTTACTTATATCCTACTCGGTCAGTAGGTGACCATATTTGGGTAACTTCCATCTGCAGCCTAGAAGGCCTGGAGTGCGTGGCAGTCTCATGGCCAGCACTGGTGGATAACTGGAACAGGAAAATTATTTCCAGGAAACTGCCTGGAACTGCTTTTGTCTTGGAGAGTCCCAAGGGAGGAAGGGTCATAGAGTAGGAACTCGGAAACCTAGATTAAGTTGTGGAAGTGCACACATTGAGCTGCTGGTGTCACTGTGACTGCTTCAGGGGCTGCTCTGGTTCCCTGATCTGCCTGTTTTAGCCATGTTTCATATATTTTTCATCCAGATAACTGTGCCAAAGCCAGTATTCTCAATCACTATCTTGAAAAATGGAGAGCTTCTATATCAAGATTGCTTGCTTTTTCTTTCATTTTCCTTTTGTAATAATTTCCAACTTGCTGGTAATGATTAGCAGGCATGAATTAACTTGAAAGAAACACAGAAATGTGGGACTTGGTTTTTCAGGGAATAGTTTCTAGGTTTTAATGAGAGGCTTGCTGTGGCCGTAGCATATCTGTTTACTCACTTTTCACGGGAGATTGCCTTTCGTTGTTTCGCAGAGGTGCTCACTGAAGGATCCCCACGCCCCCTGTCTTCAGTGCCTGATGTAACACATCACTTGGTGACCATGCAGTCAGGGCGGCAGTCCTACGAGGTTTCTGTCTTAACAGCGGTAAATCCACAGGAGGTAAAACTGTCTCTTGCCCTTATTTTGTTTCTGTGTTCACTTATGTGGTAGTTGACTGAGGATCTGGAGCAGTGACGGTGAACCTTTAGAGCTTTCAAGTGATACAAACAGCCTACTGCGGCAGAGGTGCCATGTTCACCACCACTGGTGTAGACGAGATCCGGTGCATTCAGGGTGGTATAGCTGGAGCACCACAAATCTAGAGATCTGAAAATTTCTCCAGTTTCCATTTCTTGAAAATTCTGACTAGAACAGCTTCCTTTAAGCCAAGTATGAGTCCACCTTCAAAGGACCATGAGTGTTACAGACTTGCCTTGTGAGCCGGAAGATGAGCGTGTCACAACTGAGATTCTCAGCATCCCTTTATGTACACCCTTAGTGAGTAATGTCCGTTCCCACTGTTCTCTTAACGTGAACGTGCTGCTTTTATGTTATAAAGAAAACAACATTGCTAAGTGGTAGTACACGCCTATAGTCTCAGAATTTAGGAGGCTGAGACAGGAGGATCATGAGATTAAGGCCAGCCTGGGCTGCATAACAAGTTCAGGGACAGCTGGGATATATAGTGAGCTCAAGGCTACCCAGGGCCACATAGCAAAACCATCTCAGAAAACAAAAGAAAAAAAAAGCATCCTGGAACAAAATGGTTCCTGAGCAAAAAAAATTTTAGTGACAAAATAATTAAAAATAATTATTCACTCTCCTGGAATCATGCCCCTGGAAGATAACACGCTAGTTCAGCTGGGCATAAAGGAATGGGTTCATACTTGCTTTTTCAGTGAAAGCCATCCAAGTTAAAAGAGGAGTTTCAGGTGGATTTTAAGTACTTCTAAGTCTTTGGTGTTAGCTCTCACCCCACAAACAGAATGAAAACCAATCAAGTTTCTAGAATTTTAGGGATATTCCATTGGTTTTGTGTCATGGGAGAGCATGACTTCATGTGTAAGCTTTCACCAAAAGCTATATAGCTTGGACGCCTTGGCTATATTGGGGGTAGGGGTTAAACCAAAAAAACCTTTCTTCCTCTTTCCTTCCTTTGTAATCTTTACGGTAATCTATTATATCAGTCAAATGACTGTATGCTAAACTGAATAGTCTCAATTATTTTAAAATATCCCTGGAGGTTCCCAGGATCACAGGGCTCTGGACATGCATGCCTGCACCCTGCCAGGGTCTTCCTTTGTATTCGTTCTTGTGATCTGGTGTAGTCTAAGCCTTTTTCAGATTGTGCTAAATATTTTGCTGTTGGTATCACTGGCTCTGTCCTCAGTCACCTTTTCCAGGTTACTGTGTTGAAACACATCATCTGTCTCACCTATGGAGCCTCCTTATTTTTGCCCTTTTTCTGTTTTGAGATTTATATTAGGGAAGTTTTCAGAGAACAGTGAGTGAGATAATAGGATAATGAGTCCCTGTACCTGTTACTCAAGTTCAGTAATTATAATGTTCAGGTTTTATTTTATCCCTGTACTTCTAGTTGTTGCTGTTTTGCTTGTGGGTCGGGTACGTTAGAGCAAATTGCAGACCTATCACCTGTAAATTTTTAGTATATATCCTCTTAACAGATAAGTCATGTTAGCCGGGCATGGTGGTGCGCGTCTGTAATCCTAGCGCTTGGGAGCTGAGGCAGGAGATCGCCATGAATTCAAAGCCAGCCTGAACTTTAGCAAGACCTTGTCTCAAATCACCTCTGAAAAAAAGAAATAAAATCATTTTTTTGTTGGGTGTTGTTGGGTGTCTTTAGCTGTGTTGTTGATGTCCTGAATCCATTCAAAATGTTTACCATTCATAGTCATTGGGACTTTGAGGAAGACCCGAGTCACACAGTGCCGCATCCATCCACAAATAAGGCTGCTGAGGACACATCATGTTTTCACGAGCCCGCCTGTCCATTGCACTGTACTTGGCAGCAGTGGTCACCATACTTCGTATCACACCTCGTAACACTCACGAAAGAGAACTCCCAGAGCTGCTTCAGAAAGTGACGAGAACAATGCAATAAGTGTGCTCCCAGGAAGAGGGAGTATTTTGAGGGGGCATTCATGGCATCTTTGACTGTAATTTTATTTTTATTTTTTGGTTTTTTTCTCTGGTACTGGGAACTGAACTCACGACCTTGCGCTTGCCAGGCAGGCGCTTTTGCCGCTGAGCTAAATCCCCAGCCCCATTGACTATAATTTTAAAATTTAAATATTCACTGTATATTCTGATCCTCACCCTCCTCATAACCCTTTTACTTAGACTTTTTTTTCTATAATTCGGTTTTACCTTATTCTACATTTGTGTTCAATCTTCTCCAGTTACTAAACCAAGGAGAGTTAACTGAAAGACGGACGTGAGCCCGGGCGCCGACCTGTGAAGGAGCAGCTGTCTGACCCCAGAGTGCACAGTGGGTGCCGGACAGAGGCCCCGGACCCGCCGGAAGCAAAATAAATCTGTGAAGGATGAAAGCCCGCTTCTGCCTCTTCACTTACTCCCTGGCAGAGAACATGAGTGTGTGAGAGCTTCTCTTCAGCCACCCTGTGACCCGGACAAGCAGCAAAGCAGGGGCTGCGGCTGGGTAACCACCTGCCTCTTCTCCCTGCAGAATTCTGGGACAGACTCCTCCGCCCAGTGGCAGATCGGGTTACGTGCCGGCTGAGGTCCTTCAGGAGGACTGCTGAGGGGAGGACTTCCCTCAGTCGTCACCCCAGACCTAGCTCTCTCCACAGGGATGGTCAGCGCGTGCTGTCAACCGCAGAACTTCTTGCGTTTTCAAGAGGCCTTGTTGCTCTGAAGAAGAGAGTATGTCAGTTCTGTCGTGGCGTTCTCCCTTCAGCAACCTGAGTAAGAGACTCCCAGCCGTTGGGCTGCACAAAGGAATTACTTGAATCTCCCTTGGCCCGCACTGAGGTTCTATCTTGTCTGTACATCTCTGCTCAGTCACTTTGCTTTCTTTGTTGACGGAACACACAGTAGCATGTTAAGAGGGTTTTTTGTTTTTTGAGTTTTTTTAAGTTAAAAATCACTGATACAGAGCTTCAGTTTTCCCTTTAAATAAACAAAACAGCCCAGTGAGTTGGTTGGCTCTTGTTGTGAATACAGCTTAGTTTCTTAAAGAGATTAAGAAAGTAATTCTGACACAAAAAATGGGGCAGTGATTCACCCTTTAAGAGTCCACGTAGGTAAAACTGACCAAGCCTAAAAACATGACACGAGAGTCCTCGTTTCTGCCTGGCAAACACAAGGTTGTGCATCACTGTCACATTAGACAGACGGGGTCTGAGTGTAGGAACACAGCGGGCGTAACATATAATTTCAGATTTTTCCAGATAGTTCAAAGAAAATGTGAGTTTGGAGCAAGTACTCTTGCCATCAACTTGTCCACAGCAACTGAGAGAAAATATTCAGTCGCAGACAACAGGAAAGACATTTCAAAGACCACCTACTCAGGCTGGGGATTTAGCTCAGCGGCACAGCGCCTGCCTGGCAAGCGTGAGGTCGTGAGTTCGGTTCCCGGTACCGGAAAAAAGACAAACAAAAAAAAAACCACCAAAAAAACCCAAAGATCACCTACTCATAAATTCATGGGTGTGAGAGAAGTTTTCAATGTATTTAAAATATCTCTTCCATGTTAACACACACACTTGTATAAAATAGCACATTCTAAACAGGTAACAGGAAAAATTAGTTCCTTTTAATTATAGTTAATAATTTATTAATGACATACATGATCATTCTACACTATGCAGACTTAATTCATGGCAAATACTTGTATTCTTTTTTTTTTTTTTTTTTCCAAATACTTGTATTCTTACAATGCTAGTTTTTTGCAGGTGTGGTGGCACACACCTGTAGTCCTAGCACTCAGGAGGCTGAGGCAGGATGATTGCACAAGTTCGAAGCTAGCCTATGTAGCAAAACCCTGTCTCAAAAAATCAAAAAATAAATAACATGCTAGATTTTGTACTCTGTAGCCCTACTTTGATCCTAGAATAGTAGTAGCTCTTACCCCGGAACATTGGGCAATATCTGGCGGTGTTTTTGGTTGTCACAACCAGGAGAAGGGAGCTGCTGGCATTCGTGGATAGAAGCAACAATGCTGCAAAACTTCCTGCAAGACACAGGGCAGTTCCTTCCTCTAACTGCCAAGGGAGAGTTACCTGCCCAAAATACCAGCTGCTGAGCCTAAGAAAGTCTGCAGTAAAAGGCTGCAGATCTGTCATCTCCTGTGGGCTGAACTGATAAACATGTGTTTTGTGTCTCCTACACAACCTCAGGTAGTAGGGATTGAAGCCAGAGCCTTTGCAATGAGCTGTATCTCCAGCCCTTATTATTTTATATTTTGAGACAGGATCTTGCTGTATTGCCCAGGCTGATCTCAAATCCAAGATCCTCCTGCCTTAGCCACCCAGAGTGCTGAGATTATAGGTATGCACCACCATACCAAGCCCATATTTTAAAATTTTATTTATTTAGTCAGTTTTCTTGAGACAAGATTTTGCTATGCAGTTCAGGTTGGCCTTAAACTCACTTTGTATCCCTGGCTAGCCTCAAACTTAGCAGTACCTCCTGCCTCAGCCTCTTGAGTGGTGGGATACAGTTATGTGCCACCATGCCTGGCTTAAAATAATTTTTAAGGGGCTGGGGATTTAGCTCAGTGGCAAAAGTGCCTGCCTGGCAAGTGCAAGGTCATGAGTTCGGTTCCTGGTACTGGAAGAAAAACAAACAAAAACAAAACAACAAAAAAATAATTTTTAATTAGTTGATAACGTGCCAATTTCTGGCTTCAGATGAGAATGGTTAACCTGGCAATTGTGGGCCTGTTTTCCAACAGGTTTTATACTCATTAGTCTACTTACTCCTGCTGTCTTACATCTACCCATTTGACTCATTCAGGTTTCATGATTAATCCCAACAGGCATCTGGGCTTGTGTACCACCTCCACTACCCTTTTTTTTTGTGGTACTGAGTGAGACAGGGAGCACCACTGTAGTTTTCTGAGACAGGGTGAGGCTGGCCTTGAACTTGCATCAGGCTGGGGATACAGCTCAGTGAGATAAGCGCCTGAATGGCAAGCGCAAGGTCCTGAATTTGATTGCTGGTACCAAAAAGAACTTGCATCAGTCCTCCTGCCTCTGACTCCTCCCAAGTGCTGGGGTTACAGGCACACACCAGCATAAAGAAACGTCTTTTGGAACAGTGTGCCTGGCCAATAGAAATTAAAAACTTTAGCCAGGGGTGGGGGTGCACACCTATAGAAGTAAATGTTCAAATTTTTTAAAAAACAGTAAAAGATGGTTCTTAAATTCCCTCCTGCTTCAAACACACTTATGCCATCATCCTTGGCAATTTCTGAAGAAGTTCTGGCCTTTATGAGGGTTGTTCAGACATGATAAAAAATAGTGAATGCAGCTGCTGATTGGCATCCATTGGAAAGGCAGGTTCATAAACACTAGTGTGGGCAGGCATGGGGCAGGCCTGTAATCCCAGCACTCGGGAGGCTGAGGCAGGAGGATCACTGAAGAGTTCAAGGTCAGCTACACAGTGAGAGCCACTCTGGACAAGAAGGGAGTATTCTAAGGGGAAATAGTCCCCTATATTT